TCTGCACCTGCTTCTGAAGCCCAGGTGTTCTGTGCAGAGAGCGCGTTCCGTCCCACCAGCCCCATGGGGTTTGGCTCTGTCCTCTGCACATCATCCTGCTTGAGGCCAAATGGAGAAGCCAGTGCTGGAGGGGTGGGTGGGGTGTGGGGGGGCCAGACTGCGACCTGGGCGGGGGGAGGTGCTGCTCTGCTCGCAGCACTGCCCGGTCCCCGGCCCCGCGGGGTTGCCCTCCAGCCCCAGGACATAGCTGCTTGGGGACAGAGACTGACCGTCCTCCCGCGGCTCCAGACCCCTGGTGCGGGGCTCAGACCTACCCACTGGGGCCCAGAGTCCTCCCCTGGCCGTCCCCCCATGTCAGAGCCTGGCCTCTCCCCCTGGGCCACACGAGCGTTTGTCCCGGACTCCTTCTTAGCAGCCCACACCAACGGTGTGCCCCTGAAGCTGGCGTGGCCCTCAGCACTGTCCGTGACGTCCCCGAGCGGCTGCCATGGCGGTGCCGTGTGATGGGGTCTGACCCACACCTGTGCAAGGGCTCCCACTTGGGTGCCGGGGGAGATTCAAGCCCCACGAGCTCCTGTCTGAGTGTGGAGACCCTCACCCGGCCCCACCGCCCGCCGTAGTAACCCTGAGCCAGGCCCCTTCCCGCTCCCTCAGGCTTGCCGGGGCGGCCCCCCACAGCCGCCGTGCTCCTGTGGGTGCGGAATCCTCTTGTGGGGTGCCACAGGTCGTGCTTCCGACCCAGGTGTCGGTGGTGGGTCCTGTGCAGAATCCACACGACTTCTGTTCAAAACCATCCTGTCTGTCTGCGGTGCTGGCTCAAATCCCCCTGCAGCCACGATGGCCCCAGGAGGTGGCTCCAGGTGTGCACGGGGCACATGGAAGTGCACTCTGCTCCGTGGGCTCAAATCTGGCCAAGGCTCGAAGGCTGTTGCTCTGCGACATTCCGAGCTGCTCCCGAGACCTGGGGATCTTGGAACGGCCTGAGGTCGTTTCTGCCCACTGACGTGGGGACATGTTTGGTTTGGGGGTGACCCATGTAGAAATTGTGAGGCATCGGTGTCGTTCGGACCACTCTCCCGCAGGTGCCTGCACACACAGGGGACCCCAGGGCTTTGCTCCTGGTCTGTTCCTTACTCTTGATTGCCCACCTCACAGCACACGGCTGCGTTCTGCACAGCCTGAAGGGGCGACGTGGACGCGCCCCACCTGCTTATGCCACCTGTGGGAGCTCGTGGGGTGTCAGCCCTTAGACTGTCTGCTCTGCTCTGTGTCCCGGGACCAGCCCGGCTGAGTGGGGTCCACCGGGACTCACACCAGCTCTCCAGCAGCCAGGGCTTCTGGAGGGAAATTCTTCCTGGCTCTAACCACACCCCTCTGCGGCATGAGGGGCTGCCACACTCCCCATCCGGCCTCCATAGGGCTCCGAGGTGGCGCGGTGGTGCCCCAGGCCAGCCCCTGGGGCAAGAATGGGGGGCAGGAGCCTGGCTGTGCCTGGGGGACCCCTGCAGGGAACTGGGCTCCCTTCTCCAGTGACCCCGGAGGGAAGGCCGCTGGCCCCGTGGGATGGGAGGTGGGGTCTCGGTGGGACCAGCTTTTGGGGGAAGATGGGCTGGGATCAAGCCTTCAGCCTGTGCATGTGCACATGTGTAAGCGTGTGTAAGCGTGTGTGCACGTGTATAAGCGAGTGGGCGCACATGTGCTTGTGTGCGTGTGCCTGTGACACTGTGCCCTGTGTCCCTGGGGACTCTGGTCCTGTCCCCTGCCCCACCCTCCGGGCATGCCCACCCCTGCACATCAGACCTGGATGTCCTTCCTCCCTGACCTGTGGGCGGCAGAACGTTCTTTGATCTTGGATCCAGTGGGCAAAATTTTAACCCCAAGTGCCTGTTGGATAATAAGTCGTGTAATGAAACCTTTTGCCGCCGCCTCTGGGTGGTCGACACAGCCTGGTAAGGAGGTGAGAGGGTCACGTGTGGGTGGGCGGGCCCAGCTGCCCCGGGAGGCGGTGCCGTCCTCAGAAGGGGCGGGTCTGGTTGCCGTGGCCCGCGTTGTCCCCCTCCCACCCCGGAACCCCTGCGGGTCACAGGGTGAGTGGCAGGATGGCAGGCGTGGCACGGGCAGCACGTGGGGCGGACACGGCCGGGCTGGAGCCACCACCTCTGTGTGCGGCCCCCTACATGCCTGCCTGGGGCCCTGAGTGCGGGGGGCAGGTGGCCGCCCCAGCCCAGCACAGAGCCGGCCCCTCTCGGGAGGCCCCCACCCAAGAAACTGCTCCTGGGTGCCTGAGCTCACACCCTCGAGCTGATCCTTGTCCCAAGGTGGGTCCCTGAGGCTCAGGGCTACCCTTGACCATCCTGTAGAGTCCCAGCCAGGCAGACAGGGCGTGGGGCGATGGGGTGAGGGGCAGGGCTGCTGAGCCTGGAGCCCTGACCCAGCCCCCGCCCCACAGACCCGGCAGGGGCTCCCCAGGGGACCGGCGTCCAGAGGTGGCTCAGCAGGCCTCTTGGGAGAGTCAGAGGGCTGGGGGGGGGGGTGCCCTTCATCTAACTGCCATTGTGCCTGTGCTCTCCAGACCCGGAGCACCAGCTATGCCCGGAGGAGGGCGGAGCCTCAAACCGGACCTCCCAGGGTCCCGCAGGGGCAGCCGACCGAGGCTGCAGCAGACGCTGTCCGGAGAGCAGCGGCAGATGCCCAGCCTGGCCCTGGCCGCCAGCTGCCTCGGCTCAAACCGCGGCAGGGATGCGGTCCAGATGTGTCCGGCTTCCAGAGGCTTCGCTGATGGGGAGAGCCTGGCGTCCCTCTACCCCAGGGGAGTGAGATGCACCCCCACGTGGCGTCGCTGTGTGTCTCACATGCTCTCTGGGAAGGGCAGGCACACGTCTCACACACACGCACGTGCATAAGTGCATGTGTGCATGCTCAGACAACACACACCCAACTCTCACAACCCACACACGTGTACGTGTGGACGCATGCACATGCACAAATGCACACACAGACAGCACACGCCCGACTCTCACAACCTGCACACGTGTACATGTGCACACACACACGCTCAAATGCACAGACAGCACATGCCCGACTCTCACAACCTGCACACCTGTACACGTGCACACACACACGCTCAAATGCACACACAGACAACACGCACCCGACTCTCACAACCCACACACGTATGCATATACACACTCACGCACAAAGGACGGAGGTGACATACCACGAGACCAGAGATGTTGGATCTGGTTCCGACCTCCCGTCCCGCATCCTTCTGGAAGTGTGTTCCATGTGGGGTGTCTGTGCTGCGGTGAGCTGTGGATTTATGCTCTGAGAACATTACATGCGGATGGGATATGTCACAACACTGTCCCAAGTGGACTCAGGAGGCCGAATCAATACTGAAACACACGAGGTTTAATGTTTAGTGTTGAATTTCTTTGGTTTGAATGCGGAGCTGCTGGGGCTGCTGGGGGCGGAAAGGACCATGGTGGGTGCCTCCAGAGGGCCGGGGTGTCCAGGGAGAACAGCCTGTCTGGGCTCCCCGGCCCCAGCTGGGTCCTGGCGCAGACGCGGGAGCCACGCACTGAGGCGGGCCCGCCCCCTCGCGGATGAGAGACGGACGCGGGTGCTATTAACCAGCCTTACAAAGGCAAACAGTGCAAAATACTGTATTTCGTGTGAGGTTCTGCATCTACAGCGTGTACACAGCACAGCGTCGGGCCTCTGGCTCCTATCGGCTACGGAAGCAGGCGAGCAGGCTGGACAGAGACAGAAACTGCCCGGCGGTCATCTGGTTGCCCATCTGGTTGACCTGTGAGGACACGCGGGGTTTGTGGCTGGTCCAGGACATTGTCAGGTTTGCAAGAATCCTGGGAAGCAAGGCTCCTTGTGCTCAGATACTGAGCGTTGCTGGCCCTGGGGACCCCCGACACGCCCCCTCGCCTCCCGGCGTGCGTTAGGAGGGCCTGCTCCTGGTGAAGCACCCCTGCCCAGACAGCGGGGCACACGGAGGAGGCACGGTGATGACGGCTATGCAGTGGGACCCGGTGCTCGGGTGTCTGGGCAATGTGAACTCTGTGTGCACCGTGTGTGGTATGCATGTACGTGCGTGTGCACACGTGCGCGTATGTGTGCCGCAGAAAGGCCGTGCACAATCTCACACACGTGTTCCTCAGAATGTTCCCTTGCCTGGGGGACGGGCCCCTTACTGCACACAAGGCTCACCAAAACTGAGTCCGGGCTTGTGCCCAGGTGCTCATGGAAATGCCAGCCCCTTCTTTTCGGGGCAGGGAACGTTATGGCCCCAAATGCCCTCGTTGGGGCGGGGTACGGTCCCAACAGTGGCTGGCTTTGACGGTCGAGTCTGCTGAAGGACACTGGGGCATTTCGGAAGGCACGGGGCCCCTCGAAGGCCCCAGCCGGTGCCCTGGAGAACAGTGGCAGCCCCCCCCCCCCCGGCCACGGTTCCCACACGCTCCCGGATTGTGGTGACAAGCCCCGGTGTCCGTGACGCTCTCGGGCCTGTGGGGCCGCAGGTAGGACAGGTGCTGAGCAGAGGCGCCGACGTGGCCTTCTGCCTCAGATGGTGGCTGGCGGAGAGGCTGGTGGTGACGGCCCAGGTCCAGAGCACCCCGTACCGGGCAGTAGCAGGTCCACCTGCGCCTTGGAACAAACCTCGATGAAACACACACCGGCCACTGGAAGACGTGGGTGGCACGTCTTCTGCCGTGGCCAGGCCGGTGGGGCAGATGGGGCACACGCCAGGCGCCGAGGGTGATTCCCCTGACGGAACCCCTGCTCTGTTCCCGGGCCGGCCCGGACACTGGGCACGGGGGTCGGAAAGCCAGTGACAGACACGGACGGCCCGTCTGACCTCAGGGCTGGTGGACGCGATGGTGGCCCACAGCGTCTTCCCGTGTGGGTCCTTCGCAGAGAAGGGGGCGGTGGGGGGTGACGCCCCGCCGGCCTCACGTGGCGGGACCCTGCTGGTCCGCCAGGGGCTGCTACACGGTGGTCTCGTTCTTCCACGGCCCTGTCCGGATGTTGCCCGTGCCGTCTGCGCTGAAGGACAGGACTTCACACATGTCTCCCTGGAGCAGCCCGTTCTGGCCGGGCCCGCCGAAGGGCAGGGACTGCGTCCTCCGGAGCATCTCGAAGTGGGCCGGGCCATGGGCCACCGCCCTGGCTGGCCTCCGCGGGCAGCCGTAGAGTGCCGTGTCGCTGCCCTCGGGCTGGCTGACCAGGGGGAAGGGGTCGCCCTGGGCGCAGCAGGCCAGCGCGTGTGCCCCCACCGGGCCCTCCAGCGAGCTGGGGGCGCTGTCCGTGCGCGAGCTGAGGGGGCTGCCGTCCGGGCTGGACGGGACGTGGTAGGCGCACTCCTGTGTTGCGGCCCCCGGGTGGCGGCCGAAGTAGGGGGGCTTAGTTCTGCCCTGGAGGCAGCCGTGCAGGTGCGGGTCGTGCCCAAAGGGGTCCTCCTCGTGCACGTGGACGTGGGCCGCGTCCTCCATCGGCCGCTCACCGTGCATCTTGGCACAGCACGGCGTGGCCGGTGACAGGCAGCTGACGTGGCCCCGGGCCGCCTGCAGGTTGGTCATTTTGCAGTGGCCGGCGGGGGGGGGGCCAAAGCCCCGCGGTTTGCCCGGCCGCGGCGAGTCCCGCCGGCAGGCCACGGGTCCCAGCGCGTCCCCGTTGGTGTCGAGCGTGGGGCGGGCGCCGAGCGTGGCGATGCCGCGGGAGGGGCGGCAGGCCCACCAGCACTGCCACACGTCGTCTCTCTTGGCACAGTGGTGGATGAGCACGAAGAGCCCCAGCGTCACGCAGAAGGCGCCGTACAGGCAGCTGAAGATCATGTCCAGGAAGTGGCCCTGGGACACGGCCAGCGCCCCGAAGGTCCAGGTGGCCATGAACAGGAACAGCGTGAAGGCGGCGGCCCGCAGCTGGGCCTTGAGTGAGTGCTCGTTCTGCAGCAGCGAGGCGGCCAGGGCGTCGCAGGCGGGCGGTGTGCCGGGCGGAGCCCCGGGGCTGTGGCCGGCCTCGCGCGTTGCCAGTCGCCGCTGCTCCTCCGCCCGCGGCCTGAGCTCGTACCTGCGCTCTGGGTGGCGCCGCAGCTGGACGTAGGTGCCCAGGAAGTACACACAGGTGACCAGCGCGATGAAGGCCACCGGCCCGTAGAACGCCCCCAGGCTGGGCTCCCAGGCCATCCAGCAGCTGCGGGAGGAGAGGGCTCAGTGAGTCGTGGCGTTGGGGCCAAGTGCCCGGCGGCCCCACGGTCCCTGCCTCCCAGAGCTCACGGGCAGACTTTCTCTGCAGCGCGTGAGGCCTCTCGCACGGCAGGGACGCAGACTCGGCCGTGCCCGCCACCCTGCTGGCACCCAGACCGCCTGCAGTCGGGGTTGTGGGGGGCCCGCGCCCACCTCTCTTCGGTGACGCCTTCTCTCCCTGCCCCGGAAGGCCTCGGACCCAGTGCCGGAGCCCCAAGGGAGCAGGGCCGACCTTCTGGGGGCACGACCGGAAGGGCCCGAGTGCCGGGTGCTGCGCCTGACCCGTCCACGCTCTGAGCCGGCCCCGGAGATGTGGCCCTCAGTGTCCGGGAGGGGTCTGCTGGCGGGCGGGGGGGACATGTGGGGGGCAGGCGGTGGTCCTGCTGGGCACCCCCCACAGCGCGGTGCTCCGGGCTTGGGGGGGTTGGGGGAGGTGCTGGGGCGTCCTCCACTGACGGGGAGATACTCACTAGGGCCCGTCCTCATCGTCTGTCCCATAGTTCCTGATGTTCGTGGCGGCCGTGACCCCGCAGATGATGAAGGGCACCCCTCCGCTGATGAGGTAGAACCTACAAGAGGAGAGAAACCCGCTCATGGCCTGAGAAACCGCCTGAGCCCCCCAAGGACGACCTTGTTGTCCTAGCTCTCCTCCCGAAAAGGAGGGGCCCCATGTCCTTGACAAACACCCACCCAACAGGGGAGCCCCCACCAGAGCCGGCCTCGCTCCTCCTCCTCCCTCCTTCATCTCCCTCTTTCTCTCCTCCCCCTTCCTCCCCTCCCTCCTCCCTCCTCCTCCTCCCCTCCCAGCATCTCCCCTTCCCCTGTCCCTCCCCCCCTCACATCTTTGTGCACCGCCTGGCAGCCTGGCTTCTCAGTTCCTTGGGGGGGAGTTCTGACCTGTGACCCCCACTCCCCTCAGGTCAGGGACCCATCTGGATGGAAGTTGACCCTCATTCTGGGCCTGGCCTGGCCTTTTTGCCAGCGGGGCCTCAGCCAGTGGCTCCGTCTGAGGGCCTCCTAGTGCCCGGTGCAGTGAGCTGGCTCCTGGGAACGTGAGGAGCGGCCAAGCACACGGTCCACGAGCGCCTGGCCACCGAGTGCACCATAGGGGCCACGGTGACAAAGGCACCAGCTCATGGTGACCACAGGGAGCGGGCGCCACCCTCCTGGATGAGGGGAATGGCCTAGGTCCCAGGACTGTGGGTGGGAGGAGGGTGACCTGGGGACTCTGTGCCTCCCAGAGTTCTCTATGCGGAGAACACGTCCTTCGGAACGAGGACAAATACGGACATTTTCTGACAAAAATAAAACCAAGTGAATTTGTTGCCAGCTGACCTTCAAGAAATGCTGAGTGACGTCCTTCAGGCTAAAGGGCTATTACACCAGATGGAAACTCAAAAGAATGGAGGACACCAGAAATGCTAAATGTTGGGGCAAATGGAAAAGATCTTCCTTCCTCTTGATTAAAAAAATATATGATTGCTTAAAGAAAGATTCTAATACTGCCTAGGGGAGTTGATAATCCATGTCGAGTAGCAGATGCCGCGTCTTTAGCACCGAGATGGCGGGGGGCACAGCCTCACGGGCGGGATCTCTGTATACCTTTCACATGGACGCGTACACCTGTCAGACCAAAGACGGTGCGGAGAGCTGGTGCACATCAATCCTCGCGGCAATCCGAAACATTGATAGGGAAAAGTTAATAGATAAATTAAAATGAAATGTAAAACATTAACAAAAATACTCCGAAAGAAGAAAATAGGACAGGAAAAGAGGAAGAGAAGGAAAAAAAAAGAAGGAAAAGCAGAAGATAGGTGGTGGAATGGAGACCTGACTCCGCCCAGCGTTCCGGGACGGAATGCCCCAGCTCACGCACAGGTGGGCCGGGCAGGTGCGCCACGGCACGCTGAGACCGCCCTGTCCGTGGCGGCAGCACCTTCCGTGCGGAGTTGCAGAGCCTCTGGACGTCGATGGAGACGGGGGCCCAGGAAGGCTGTGGCAGCCACCCTGACACCAGGGAAGAAGGGCTTCAAGGGGAAGAGTCGAAGAGGCCCGTGTTATGGCGATGTCAGCGTGGCCCACGGGAAGACACCGCGAGTGCACACGGCCCAAGAAAAGGTTCAAAGTATGGGAGGCCGAAAGGGACACAAGTAAAGGGAAAGACAGACAACTCCAAAACCACGGCTGGCGATTTAAACTCCCCTCTCTTAGCAGTTGCCGGGACAGCTAGGCGAGAAATCGGGAGAGAAATAGAAGATCTGAACAATGATATGAATCACTTCCCCACAAATGCTCTTCCTGGACCATCACACCCGGTGCCTGACGACGCTCGTTTGTGCCCCGTACCCGCGGTCTGCTCACCGTGGCGGATGGCGTGTGCACCACGAAACAAACCTCGATCAGGTTAAGAGGGTTGTGATCATCCAGAGCATGTGGCCTGACTTCCGTGAAGTCCTATTAACAATTCATAGCAGTGAGGAAACTAGGGAAACCACAAACACCTGGAGGTGAAACCACGCACTTCTAAATAAGTCACGGGTCTAAAAAGGTGTCATGAGGGAATCCGGAAAACGTCTTAAACACGACGAGAGAGGGAGCAACGTATTTTGGGGATGCAGGGCTCAGAGGGACGTCCATAGCAGCAAATGCTTCTGTGGGAAAAACGGGGAGGCCTGACATTCACCACCCAGGACTCCACTCGACGAGGCAGAAAAGGAAGAGGGCAGGGTAAACTGAGTCACCAGAATGAAGGGGACGACATGGAGGAGAGCAGACAGCAAGCAATGGTGAAAAACAGCAAGCCAAGCGTCGATTTCCGCAGACAATCGACAACCCTGTGCCCGCCTGGCCGGGCTGACGGGAAGTGGGGCCACAGAGAACCAGACTCCCGTGGGGCGGGGACGGCGGTTTGTAAACAGCCGTGGCCATTACCTCAGCAGCTTAGATGAAGTGGCCAAATTCCTCGAAAAAAATATAAATCAGCCAGATCGAAACAAGAATTAGGAAATCAGAATACTCTGTATCTGGTAAACTGGTTGGCTCCAACATTCACAAACGTCTAGCAGAGGAGATTCCAGGCCCCTCGAGCGTCAGCAGTGCGTATGGTCACGCGTCTAAGGAAGTGATGACACCGATCCATCTTGCACAGGCATTTCCAGAAAATAAAGAAGGGTCGCCTCCTGACTCAGCTTACAGGGCAGCAGAAGCCGGTATGAAAACCAGACAGGTACATGAGAAAAGAGTGAATAGCCCTCAGTGTCCCCCTGAACAGACACAAGCCCCTCTAACAGTGTATCAGCAAATGGAATCGAGGACTTCATGCACAGGATAAAATATCTCAAGTAAGTTTATCGCAGAAATCCAAAGCGTGTTCTTCATAAAATCGACGTGGTTGGTCGTGGAGCACAGTAGGGACATACGATTGGCTCGTAGATGCAGTGACAACACCTGACAGAATTTAATACACGTTCATCATGAAAAATCTCAGCAAGCTCGGCCCGGACGGAGTCTCCTGGGTCTGCCGAGCGGCACGTAAGGCAGGGGCTCCGAGCGCCTCTCCCGGGCCTGCAAGCAGCCGGCCCAGGGGCCCGAGCGACACGGGTGGAGGCGGAGATACCCCGTGAGGTCCGGCACGGCACAAAAGGCGGGGCGGTGAGCCAAGCCCGGCAGAGCTGCGAGGGAAATGTCCCCGACTGCTTTCGATGGCTGGAGGAAAATGCCGCTGCTGAGCGTGTGCTTGGGGACCTGGCCCGGGGTCCAGAGCCTCTATATAGCACGGCGAAAGGCGCCGGCCTGGGCTGCGTCCACGGCCGCCTGGGACGCGTGACGTCATGTGACCCCGCCCGCCACGCCTGGCTGCGGCAGCTCTGCTCCCGGGCTGACCAGGCTCGAGAGCCCCTTGGAACCTGCAGAAAGTCACCGTCCCCCGAGCCGTGCCTCCACCCTCCACGGAGACACAGATCCTGGGGTTCCGGCCAGGAGGTCCCCTTTAACGCACGAGGAAGTGCGTGAGGTGACGTGGGAGCGCCGAGACGGGAGCAGCGTGGCGCTCGCCCTGCCCCAGCGGCAGTAGCAGCCCCCAGCGGCTCGCTCTGTGCCCTGGGAGGACAAAGGGGCCGCATTGCTAAGCTGCACCCACGTGGGTGGCTTGCCTTGGACAGCCCCCCCTGGTCCCCCGAGGCCAGGGTGGCCCCCTCGACTCCTGTCCAGCTCCAGTGGCCACAGACCGTTCCCAGGGGGCCCCTGGCTCAGGGGGACTGCGTCCTCCAAGCCCTCCTGGCTCACACATCCTGCAGGGTGATACAGCCCCCACTGCCTCCGGCCGGGCCCCTCAGGCCGGCAGGCGCCTCGTCCTCGGCTGGGGCTCTCCCGGCCTCTGCCCGAGCGGCTCCAGCCCCAAGTCGCCAGCCCACAGGACCGCCGGGGAGCTGGGCTCCTGGTGCCGGACCGGCTGTGTGGGCAGAGGGTGCCGGGGGCCCCTCGGGTGCCCCACCTGGGATGGCCGTTCTCACTGTGGCTGTGGGCAGCCAGCGGTGTGGGCATGCGGGACCCCTTCGGGGCCCTGGCCGTCCCCGAGGTGGGCTGCCCTGTACCAGCCTCAGCTCGCCCGGTGGCCGGGGACCCTTTGGGCCTGGTCACCAGTGCCCTCCAGCCACACCTGCCCCATAAGGCACGAAGCCCAGTCTTGGGCGTCCCATCCAGCATTGTCGCTGACCGGCCAGCTCTGGTGGCACTGAAACCCCTGTTCACTGTAGGACGTCCCCTGATGTGACCCCAGGAGACACTGGCACGTTTAAGACCAGCCACGTCTCTGTGCTCTGTGTCCCCACATGGACCACACAGGGCAGGTCAGCTGGGATTCTGGGAGCTCATGTGGCTCCCAGGGACCAGACCTGTCTCTTCCTCTAGGGGGACGTTTTTAGAAAGAAGGGTGAAGCTGACCCTCCGTGGGACCCCAGCTGCCACCCCGAGGCACCACGCTGGACCCTGAGAGGCCCTTGGACACGCACAGGGCCCAGGGATGCAGGCACCTGGGGAGGAGGGTGGAGGGGGGCCCTTGCCCGACTGGCCTGGGCTCCCCCAGAAGCACGGGGACAGTGTCCCACTGAAGGGCAGATCGGGGAGCCCAGTGGTGGCCCGAACCAAGGACACTCGGCCCAGGGTGAAGTGTCACGCGGGGTCAGTGGAGTGGGGCACGTGATGTGCACGTCCAGGTATGTGAAGTCTGTCCCTGCCGCAGGCTAACGTTGGCCCTCAGAACGGGGTTGTGCCGCCTGCACGGTAAAGAGATTAGGGTTAGGGTTAGGGACAGATACAGGGACAGGGATGGTCCGGGTGACCCGGGTGGCCTGACATCATCACAGAGGTCCTCGTAAAGGGAGGTCGAGGTCAGACAGGAGGGAGGACGCTGCATGGCTGGCTGTGAGTCAGAGGAAGGCCCCCGACGAGCGTGGCGCCTCCAGAAGAGGCAAGACCACGTGTGTCCCCTGGAGCCTCAGAGGAGCCACCTGCCCTCACCTGGACACGGCCCAGGACACCGGTTCCGGGTTTCTGACCACCAGGACGGTAA